GCCGCTCAACTCTGATGAAAGTTTGTAATAGGTTATGTATGTCCAGAAATCTTAATTGGTTATCATTGTTTTTTGATCCGATGATTCATTGATTGGAAATTGGGACGACGAAAAATAAACGTTTTCTTGCACTAAAATTTGTGTTTAAAGGATTGTTGTTGACATTTTGTGAGCATATATTAGCAAATGTTAATACCCTACTCTTTGTTGAGGCGGAAGTGTTTAATAATGATGGGCGATGTGGATATAGATGCTTTTGCTGTCTTTTTAACTCTGACGTGAAAGATGCCTTAAGTTAAAATTATTTTACAATCAAAAAGTATTTGTTAGCTGTACAATTAGGGAAGGACTGGAGTAGCTATTCAGGCGTACGATCAATCGGTCGAACTATCGATATTAGCATCTGCAAAAAGATAGTTCTGCTATGTTCAGTCGAGAGTCAGGCGACTCGATGCGAGAATCGTTGCTTCTTTTATTTGTATTTGGTTTAATTGTGAGATCAACAGATCGTAATGGTAAGTTCCATTCTGATATAGTACAACCTGGTGAAATATTATAGTTCTATTTAGATCGATTCTCAGATCAACAACTACTAATGGTGAGTCGGTTCTTTATAAGTGAAATGCTGATGAATTATTTCATTTCTATTTAGATCAATCCTCAGATCAACGATTAGTAGTGGTGAGTTCGATTTTGAAAGTTACAACCTGATAAATTATTTTATTTGTTTTTAGATGAAACATCCCATACCGATCGCTCCACCCACCGGAATCTGGAGAAACTGGTAGAAAATGCGCCTGAAAGTCGCTGTATTCTGTTGGAAAACACATGGTATCTGTGCAGCATGGAAGCAGCATCCCGGTCGCAAAGTTTCCTGATCTTTCTAGTGAGCTCGGACCAACTTGCAATACCTTTCGGCTAGATGCGCCGGAAATCGTTCAAAAAATTTGGAAAGTTTGCGGTCGGAATACTGCTTCCATGTTCTTGTGATATTCTGTGCTCTCCTACAGAATACAGCGACTTTCAGACATCTTTCCTGGTGGTTTCTACTTATCAACCATTTAGACTACCCTTCGATCAACCTATCTGCAGTTGAAAAAACTGATCAACTCTTTGCACTACCCTTCGATCAACCTTTGGGTAGTTGAAGAATCTAATGAACCCTTTAAACTACCCTTGGATCAACCTTTGGGTAGTTGGAGAAACTAATCAACCCTTTGGACTACCCTTCGCTCAACCTATCTGCAGTTGAAAAGCTGATCAACCCTTTAAACTACCCTTGGATCAACCTTTGGGTAGTTGAAGAAACTCATAAACCCTTTGCACTACCCTTCGATCAACCTTTGGGTAGTTGAAGAAACTAATCAACCATCTGAGCTACCCTTTGATCAACCTTTCTTTAGTTGATTGAACTAATAAACGCTTTCTAGTAGCTTTAGTGAAGGTATTTCATCTTTATATATGATTTTATCAACGAATATGTGTGTTGAAGTAAGTGGGTTTATAAATGTCATCTACCCTTAATGAGGGTTTATGAAAATGCAACGTATGATATACCCTTTTAGAGTTTCTCAGCCCAATAAACGATTTGATAAACCTTTCCACACTCAGTATATCAACTTGATAAACCCTTTTATTTAGTCTTTTGATGGGTAGATAAAAGGGTTTATCACATCCTGATAAACGGTCAAAAAGGGTATATCATACGTTGCATTTTCATAAACCCTTTAAGAGTTTATCATTACGCGGATTTTTTTTTATCAGTGTACCTTTAACTCCTTATACATATGTCACATGTTCTTATCTAGTTCTTTTCTCGCACTCTCGATATATAACTTCTAAATAGATATGTCTAACCCCCTACATATATATGGTTATGAGTCGTTTTTTGTATGTGTTACTGTTATATCTAGAGTTGTACTCATTTATCGAAAAATATGCTCGTATATCTACTACTAACCAGTATGTCTGTCTGTATTACCTGTGTTAAAGTAAAAATGAAGAAATATTGTATTGTTTTAAACTAAGAACAACGCGAACATAAAAAGGATCACAAAAATAAATACACGAACACGAACGATGTAGATCTGTGTGTGGAGCGTTCATCATATAATACAAATGGAAGTCAACAATTTGCGATGACAAATATTTTCAACTAATATGCATTGTAAAAACTATAAAAAAAACTCTGTCATATAATAATATTTAAAATACAAATATAGAAAAAAATGAATTAAGCGGATACTATGTTTCTTTCGGCAATATCTTAATGGTTTAACAAGTTTAGCGAGGAAACTTTGATTGCTCTATAAGTGAAGTGTTCTCTATTGCCAAAAGAATTGACTTCGTATAGAAAAATAGATAATTTAGAAATGGTGATGTGATATTCCAGCTCGATTCTAAACTGAATCATAAATATGTCAATGGAGAAAACAGTTAAGATCGGGCGACTTTCTGATTTCTGGGTATTTATACGAAAGTTCAAAAGATTGGTTCAACACTTTTTTGTCAGTATAATGTAATACTCATCCAGCAAGTACGACTTGCCAGCTGAATATTTCAAATTCATGGGCGAGTATTGGAGGGATTTCGTGTGTATATGTATGCTTTGCAATTAATCTGACGAGACACTCATTGGTACTTTTCTTTGGAGATTTACTTACTAGCGAAAGCCTGAGTACTCATTGTGGTACTGATATTCGTTTCTTTGTAGATGATTTAACAAAATACTCATGGATTAGAATGTAAAAAAACAATGATATACTCAAATAGGGCATAGAGAGAATGTGTTTTAATGACTTTTCAATTTTTTCCTCTATTCTTTTCTAATGAGTTGTTCAACTATTTCAGGTAATAATGACTTTAAAAAAGAAAAAAAGACTTTCATTTAGGTAATTTTTTCCTTTATGTTGAGATCAATTGTTTGTTTAAACGTATAAATGAAAACGCTTTCTAGTTTCCATTTCTGAAATTCAGATTAAAAATTTTCCTACATTAAATTACAGTTTTCAGTGAGATTGTGAAAAGCAATGAACGAAATTTTGGATAATAAGTTTTGCTATTGACTGATGGTGATTATTAATTATGAAGACGCGTGGATTTTTTCTATAGAAGACTAGTTAATCTTTTTTGTTCGTTTTTTTTTATATAAAAAATACATGAAAGATAGCAACAAGTCTAAAAACATTTTCCTTGATAATCACCATTGTATTTTTTCATCAACATACTTCTCCATTTCAGCGAATAATTTATTATTCGTTTCTTTTCACTTGTATTGTGCTGTTCTCATAAAATATCCTAATTTACTTACTCATGTACACAACGATAAAGTAAATCTACATCTTCAGAGAATAAAGAACGTTATCGGTTGTGGTAGATTATATAATCAGTATTAGCTAGTTTCTGAGGATCCTTAGTCTAATAATTATGATCGATTCTAAAGCATAACATATTCTATTAGATTATAATCGATATCACTTGATTTTAGATCATACTAATTTTAATGATTAGAGTTGACTTCAAAAGCTAATCGATTCTGGTAGATTATAATCGGCATCTCTTAATTTTAATCCTGAAAAAGTCATCAGTTACTGATGAAAATCGATTATTTCTGAAAATTGATTCTAACTGATTAATAAATAATCATAAACAAGCGATTACACTTCCTATTAATCGTTTTCATTCAATTCTAGTGAAAGAACCAATGATTGTCGATGAAAAAACATTGATTCCAAATCAAACACGAGAAGAAGTCGATCATAATCTTAAAATTAATATAAAAAAAAGCACAATTACTAAATTTTCATCGATTATTAAAGCTACGAATCGATGAAAATCATCTAAATCTTGATTTTTAGGCTTATGTTTTTTTACGTGGAAAGTATTTTTATATGAAGAGACATATTAGAGAGGCTATATGTTTAAGTACTTATATTGCTTTGAGTTGGAGGGTGTGACTGCGACTGAGGGCATGATCTTTCAGAACACACATACCGCTTTTTCAGATTCTTCTGCTTGAATGAATTTCAGATACAGGTTTTGTTCTCTCGTCGAGCTGAAAAGTGCATACATCACGTAGCATACGCGTCATTCTCGATGAAATGACTTCACCGATGGCGTGTCCACTATTCAAACATTGTTTTAGCTTTTTCGTTGAAGAACGATTCAAATTTTCTTGTAGATGTTGCTCACATTTAATATAGAAGCGTGATGCATTTTTTTCTATGCAATGCTACTATCTACACCATATATAATGAGTTTTATGGGTGAATCATAAAACCAGAAAACTGCTACAACAAAAAAAGCAATGTCCGTTACTTTTTTATTTTGATTGTATTTATGGCAATTTCAGGTCCTGTGTAGCTCTGTTCGTCTAGGTGCTTTATCGACTAATTTTCATGATTGTTCTTGTTACGGACTACTTGAATGGTATTTTGAGCTACTTCAAGAATTACTTTGATCTACTTTGACGTACTTTTCTACCTCGAGTCTGCCGTTTCTCCATTGAATTCTAACCATAAATGTATTATAGATTGATCGTAGTATCCATGACTGAATTGGTATCGTTTTATACAATAGCGATTTTAATCATCTGCCACGTATGGGTAAGCGGTCTAAAAATGTAGTCAGTATTGCTTGCAACTACAACGATTGCTGCTCATTGTTGCTATATGCCTATTTTATCTGCACTTAGTGCATCAGGAATTCTTTCTATAGACGCAATGAAGTGCATATTCCCTTTTGTTTTTCGAATGTTTATTTCAGAAACATTATGAGATCTCTATCATATATTTGCTAGCCGTTATGTTTGTGTTTCTTGTATCAAGATGTGACAGTAGGGGGTTGCTTCAATTCTCTAACTACACACCCACACCCTCCAAATTCCATTTTACTCATATGTTGTCACTTTTTTGGTCACATATTTTCTTATGTAGATTGCCAATGGAAATGGACATTTTCCACCAAATGAGCCTCGCTATCCATCATTGAAAACTCTAAAAATGTCTCCAGATTATGAAATTTGTGCAACTGCGAAATGGTCATCAACTGGAAAGACGGTTGCAGGTGAGAATGGCCCAGGTGCTAGTCTCAATCAGCTCAATAATCCATTTGGACTTCTTGTCGACCCGAATGATGATGATGCTGTTATAATAGTCGACCATGAAAATGGACGAATAATGCGATGGGCACAAGGTGAAATCAACGGACAGATAATCGCGGGTGGTAATGGAATTGGCAACAGAAGTGATCAACTTGCATTGCCTCGGTATATAGCACTCGACAAAAAAGGTACTTTGTTCATTACTGAGTACACAAATAAACGCGTAAGTCGATGGGAAAAGGGTGCGTCCAGTGGAGATATCATAATATCAAATATAAACGCTAATGGCATTGCTCTTGGACCTGAATCAGACGAGAAACAATCTTTATTTGTAGGGGACTGGTTCTCAGCATATATTCTGAAATTTAACAAGAACGGAACAGGCCGAAGGCAAATCGTAGTCGGAAGCAATGGCTCAGGAAGCTCTTTGGAGCAACTTTCTACTCGTAGGTATTTAAATGGAAGATAAAATTGCATTTTCAAAATGAGTATCACGGTCTCTTTTCCAGCGTATCAAATGTATATCGATCCACTGGGATCTATATATATATCAGAGTACTTGAACCATCGTGTAACAAAATGGAATGCTTACAATAGCAGTGATTGGGAGACGAAAGCTGCTCTTGTTGCCGGTGGAAACAGTAACGGTAGCAATTTGAATCAACTAGATGGAACTCTCGCTGTTACTGTTGATCAATCGAACAATATTTATGTAGCAGATTACGGAAATCACCGAATTATGCGTTGGCTCAAAGGAGCTCATGTGGGTGCAGTTATTATTGGCGGTCATGGCCAAGGTAATCTCAGTACACAACTCAATCATCCATACGATTTGGCTTTTGATCGCCAAGGGAATCTGTTCGTGAGTGATTTTTCCAATCATCGCATTCAAATGTTCGCCGTTGACAAGAGTTCTTGCAGTGGTAAGTTGCGTTCATCCAAAATAGATTCTCATTTTCTTCACTTTGTTTCAGGAGTTGCCTCGATATTGGGTATAATCGCTCGATTTAAACTAGTCGGCCTGACTATATTCATCATTCTATTCGACAGTGTTATCTGAATTTTCAGACAGTTTGTTTTTGAATAAGAATGGCAAAGATTTTGTTGGATCACCATCATAAAGTCAAGATTTACAAGTCGAATCTTGTGTTATGTCAGCTATTCTTCTAGGAACATAATTATTGATATAAATCTTTTGTATTTCAAAAATAGCAATGCTACCGAAATTCATTAGAAGAATAGATAATAACTATTAGTAATCAACTTAAAACGATATCGTCAAACATATTTTGAGTAGACCACTCGAAATCATCACTTATCTGGTGACCTAGAACGATTTGATAGACGAGATGTTTCACCATAATAAAGCCAGGAATTAATTTTATTGTTTCGCTCTGAAAGATGAAGTGAAATTTGTGTTCCTTTTTGCTTTTCCATTTTTATGAATATGAAGCTATCACATATAGTCGCATAGTATTCAAGTATGCCGAATAAAGTAAACGAATATAATAAATTACTCTAATTGATCTATTTGTAAAAGAGCTAGTGTAAGCTATTTGAAAGATCTTCTTAGCTTTTTCAAGAGATGATTCGCTCTTGAGAACTATATAAGCGTAATCATTTAGAAATTCAAATATGAAATACGAGAGATATGTTTGACTCACGGGCAAGTATCCTAGCTGTGTCATTCATATTGTCCGTGACAATCAGATAACCTAAGCTATTGAAATTTCTTTGGTTGATCTATATGATAACATTACTATTGATACAGTGCGTACTGAAAGTTTAATATATCTAGCACACTGGTATACAAGAAAAATTTCGTTAATGGAGTTTTTGTAAAAACAGAATAATTTATTAAGGTTTCATGGCTTGTAATTTCCACTAAGAGTCAACACATCTTTCTAGCAGACAATCATCATGCGCTAAGTTTGATGAAACTGTGATGATAACTGTCGACCAGATAGCCGATCCAAGCCGGGTTTTCACTCAAGAAATTGTTTTCTCAGGAAATAAAGATTTTTTACGGAGTACTAGTAACGGTGATTAGGGCCACGGAAACCGATTACCTTTGTTAGAATAGAGAGGAGTCGAAAAGCGATGAAATTGCAAGGGGGCAACGGCGGACTTTAATTAGCTCAAATTACCACCCAAGTAGCCCAAAGTAGGAACAAGCAGCTTAAAGTAGCTCAAAGTAACTTCAAGTCCAAAAGTCTGCTGTTTCCCCCTTGTGAAATTGACACCCTCAGAAACGTTGATTTCTTACAAAAATCTTAATAGAATTGTTTTCCAGGCATGATCTTCGGGCTTTTTCACAACAACTTTCGCAGATTTTTATTAAAGAAAATATAATTTACGTGAAATATAATATGATATTTTGAATGAAACACCCGATTTGAGTGGACTTACATGAATTTAAAAGAGGCTGAAGGTTTGGATGATAGTCTTACGTTTCCACCCACACCCACACCCACGTCAACAACGTAGTTCTTGAGGGTGTCGGCGTGGGTTAGAGATGTAACAATGCGAATACCAATAACAATGACAATAAATCGAATGGTATTAATTAGTATTGTTTCGTCTATATGTAGGTCTTGCTCTTCTCTTCACTCACACCTGCAACCACACCCGCAACCACACCCGCAACCACACATGCACACCCCAAAAAACTTCAAATTTCGGAGTAAAAACAAGTAGGATGATAAAGACCAAATATTTAGAACCTTAATCTTTTTTTTTATGCTGATGCTATGTCGAAAGGATGATTACAAAAGGCAGTCATATCATAAATAAAGTCAACAAACCGAAATAGGAAAAAACCAAAGCATCCACAAAATTTTGAATGCTTATCATCATAGATTGCGCGAATGATATTTGTAAAATATTTTCATTTTTGTGAGGTAGCATTTTAGCGGAACATAATAATGCATACAGGATCTAAATCAACCATCAAAATATTTCTTCTAGTCTTTCTTTGTATTGCACATAAAACAGAGACAGTTCAACTGCGTGGTATAGGCGATGAAGGGCCGCCACCTGTACCATTCCATCCGGATGCCATGTACATACCTCAGGTGATGAATACTGCTAAATATGGTTTACATAAATGTTTTGACTGTCAAAACATTGCAATCGTTGGAGGAGGTAAGTATATGTGTCCTTGTAAATATTCCAAGTACGAAAAGTTTCATGATGCAATAGTATTCTTTCAAATCAGTTGGTCTATTTGTTTCAGTAAATAGATTAACTCTAGCCATTTTTTTAGTTGTATAGATCTGACGTGTTCGCATTAGTGTGAACACCCACATAGTAATCATGCTCGTTTAAAAATACTCTTCATGGAATAATCATCCATCAGTTTATGTTGTTGGATTTCCAGCATGTTGTGAATATATCCTACAACACAATTAAGTAGCATCCAACCTATCTCAGTTGCATATTCTATTCGAAAGGCGTATTAGTCATGACTATCATGAACCAGAGAATACTTCGTACAAAAGCAATAACATCTAGAGGTGTTAGCCGACGTCTCGGTTGGCGGCGGCTCAGTCGCTCGGCTTACACCTCTAATAACATCAATCGAGATTTCTCACAGACCAGAATGTATATTTCAGGAGTGTCTGGTTTGATCAATGCCATTGAACTGTCTACGGCTGGTCATCGTGTGACTGTTTATGAAGCGAGTGATCAACTTGGAGGTCGAATTCTCACACACCGTGTGTCAGATAAAGGTTACATCACAGAATTAGGTGCCATGCGCCTACCACTGAATCAACACAAACTTACCAATGTGTACGTTAATGAACGATTGAAACTCAAAGTTACACCTTTTCGTGGATACGAGTCTAATGCCTTGGTTTATATCAACGGAAGACGACATAAATTCACTGAAAGGATTGTACCAGAACTATTCGGATTCAATGTGTACGACAATGAGATAAACAAAGTACGTATTTTTCATTCATTTTTGTTTACTCGCAATGCTTATGCAGGAAAATGTCGAAAAACTGAGCGCTTCAATCAGAGTTCAGAGCTTTTTGTGTCAAGAACATGAAAGTCCAGACCAACTTACTCACAACTACGTCTTTAAAGCGGAAGAAAAGAGTTTCAGTCAGACAATATTGATGAATCTTCTCGAAAGTCTCTATGAGTGTGTTTATTCAGAATGGACTTTATTACAGACAGTCGATCAGTTATGGAATGTGGCGATCAATTCGGTGAACTATAACAGCTATGACGAGTTGAAAACGAAGTATGATAAATATAGCATAGAAGCGTACTTTCTGGAGCACCAGAACATGTCCCGCGGTGCGATTGATTTTATCTCTCTGATGTACAATGTTGACATGCAAACGAGCCTCATTGAAATGGTACGGAGTAGTTTAATATTGACTCTCACTCCTGAATACACACAAATCGATGGCGGCTTTGATTTGATGATTCAAGAGTTAGAACAAATTTGTAAACGTGTTTCCGATAATCGCTGTACGATTCAAACAAGAGTTCCCATTAAAGAAATTCACTACGTCGAAGATGCTGCGAATGAAATGATTCGTTCTTCGGTGCGCTTAGTTATTGGTAACAGCGGTAATACGGCTACTTTTGATTCAGTCATTGTCACAACAACTGCACGAGCAGCAAGTCTCATCAAATTTGAACCACGAGCTTTGTTTGTCAATAAATACAAAGCGTTTCGTCAACTACACTACGATTGTGCTACAAAAATTGCCCATTCATTCAGTCGGGCATTTTGGTACGAAGAAAACATTCGTGGTGGATCTTCGGTGACCGATTTATCTATTCGATTCGTATTTTACAACAATTTTAATAGTAGTGCCAATGACGTGAACGATGGTGGGTTTATTCTAACTTCCTACGTTTGGGCTACCGATGCTTTGTTGTGGTCAGCGTTGACCAAAGAGGAAGCGTGCGAAAAGTCATTGCAAGATCTCATGCAGCTTCACAATCGAGTTGATATTCATTTGTTGGTTACAAGTTGTGAAGTAAAAAATTGGTGTACAGATCAGTATGCTATTGGTGCGTATGCACTATTCACTGCAAATCAAGAAACAAATTTAGACGAAGAATTAGGAAAATCAATAAAAGATACAGTACATTTTAGTGGCGAACATATCAGCTTTGTACATAGATGGATCGAAGGCGCAATACAATCATCCCTACGTATTGTCATGCATATGCAGGTGAGTAATTTTCAAGTCTGTTGTGGAAATGAAATGTTTGCTCGTTTTTGTTCTTATCTTGAAGACCTTAGAATTCACTGATGATGATGATGATTTCTGAAAGAGCTTTCATAAATTTTCGGATGTTGATATTCTAGGAAGAAGAGTTTGATGTAGTAATCGTTGACGGTGGTGTGCTTGGTATGATCACAGCTTTAACTTTGGCGAAAACATGGAATGTTAAACGTATTGCCGTTCTTATGAGTGAAGATAGCGAAAAGTTATTAGAAGTTGCTCCATTTCATAGTGTCGATGAAAAATACTACTTGAGCAAAGCGAGCCAAATAGTTCTTCCTCTATGGCAAGAACTTGAAGCGATGCTCAATGTACCAGCAGGTTCATTACTCAACACCCACAATGGCTTCGTCTACTTGGGTCAGTCTTCCTCGAAGATGGCTGAAATCTGTCGAAATTTAACGATTTCCAAGTGTACCTTACTTTCGTCTACCCAAATCTCCGATGGGCGTCCATTTATCAACATCAATCAACCTGCTCTACGCCTTGTTGAATCTGGTTTTGTAAACGTAACTTTATTAGATAGCGCCCTAAGAATATTAGTAGAAAAAACGCCCAGTATTATTCTACGTGACCGAGAAACATTTTTCAATGTCAAATACATATCAGGTGTTTCACATGTAAGAATTGAAACTAGTCGGGGTTCGCTGAATGCTTCTAAAGTGATATTTCTTCCCGGTGTTCAAACTAAAGAGATGATGAACAAATTTGGCCTTAATTTGAACATCAACTTATACGAACTACCTACAGGCATACGTTGTCCAATGCTACCAGCTTCAAATATTACTTCAACAATGCCAACTTGGCTATTTGCTCCGAATGATGACGATCACTATGCTGGCTATCCACCTGATGGATCAGGCTACGTCTGTATTGAGCCGCGTATTGTCAAATCAAAAATGCAAAAGCTAAACTCTTCATATGAACAAACGAACAAACCAGATCCAGAGATTTTGAAACGTCTTTTGACCTGGGTTAATCAACACATGAGCGTGGCAGTGGATTCAACGAACGCTATTACTGCCAACGACACTGTCCTTGATACAATCTTGTCCGACGATGGTTTCATTCTAGACTACATTCCGGGATTCGGACAGATGTTTGTATTGGGCACCCATAGTTGGTCTGGGGTACAATACATGCCTCTATTTGCACAAATTCTAGCTCAACTTGCAACTAACAATAAATCATCCATTTGGCCTAGTCATTATGCATCACTCTTACCAGAATTTTCAGTGAATCTAGCAGGACGAATCATTACTTTAAATCCTCTGCCAAGTCGAAACACATCGAAAGACTCTAGTTCAACTCTTATTTACTCTCTGATTTTGATACACTTTTTCATCGTTTTCTACTCTTATTATTTTGCGATATAAACCTACTTAGTATATGCTTAAGAAAATAATGTTAGATGAAGGTATGCGCATACGGGTGTGTGTAAAAGTGTGCTTGTGGGTGTGAATGAAGGAAGTTATACCCACACATTCTGCCACTGCCAGATGCTAGGACATATAGGAAATAGAACAAACGAAAAGAAAAATTCCATGAATATCGAAAATTGTAAAGGACGAGAGATAAATTTAAAATATCGATCATATGTCTCTTACAACTGCTCGTAATAAACAGATGGTGTAAACTCGAAAGACTTTAAAAATTATTATTCATCGTACTTTTTGGTAAGAAGAGTCATGTTAAAGTGCTATCTTCGATGTCGATCGCATTACTTTATTAGTAATAATAATAACAACAACAAAAACAACAGTATGTTATCTGTATTTCAGATTCTAGAAACACTTGTCATATATATATATAGCGTTTTACAGTTTCAATCGGCTGTATAGATGCAAATAAATTTTGATTGATGCAATGGATTACTTGTTTGATTGCATTAATTGTCATTGTAAAATTCTTCTTTGCCAGCACCTTCTCCAACATTGAAATCTCGCATTCCATCGATCGCGAGACATAAAATGAGTGAAAGTCCAATTTCTTTATCTTTCGCCTAATTGGCAACTACAACAGTAAATGCATAAGTATCGAATATAGGTAATCTTGAGGATCTAGGTGAAACTGGGTTAACATGTGCAATCAGCCGTCGTTTCGGCTGCCTATCAGAGAAAATTTGAAACATGAACTCAGGTGAATGAATCCGACTCTCCGACAGAATCCGATAGGATTCCTGAACACTGACCTATTTTCGGTTCCGACGGAAAAAATCATTTTTTTATTCACGATTAAATAAGCATTTTGAGCCATCAGAGTATGGGTGTGGAAATAGATTATTATTACAGACTCCCACACCCTCAAGAAAAAGCAATGGACAGATACATTTTTTACAAAATATTAAAAATACTCGATGATTCTTACTTGTCGAACACTCAACAATAAGTCAATAGCATTCTGTTCCAAAAACAACATTTCACTGAATTTTCTCTAAAAATAGATTTATCCAAAACAAAATGAAAAACTTTTTATGATCATTTTATAAAATATTTTTCATTATAACTATATCAAAGACTTTATTATTAAGCATGTAACCTTAAAGAAATTTAGTTTTATAGAAAAATATCAATAAAAGATCGTTCACCTTGTTTTGAAGGAAGAGTGTGGTGTGAATGTAAAAGTGCATTTGACGGAGGAAATAAAAGATGGCATTCACATTCCATACTCGATAGAGTCAAGTTACTCTCTCATCCATATGAGTCGAATTCGATTTTATTGATTATATTGAAAAAATTAAGGAATATAAACTCTAAGATAGAAGCAAGAGCCTTTTGTCTAGAAGTTAATGAAACGTTTGTTCATCACTTGGATTGCTCTTATTGAAGAATACACGACTGTCATGTCTACCAGTCAACTGCTTTGGTTGTTTTTCTTTTGTTTTAACAAATGTTCTACCAATCAAATCGATAGAAGCATCCGTCATCATTGAAGATTTTCTTTCTTCTGCTTTTTTCTGTTGATTTTTATTTTTTGACTGTCGTTTTCGATTTTCTTTTCTAATATCACCATGAGATATATTGCTCTGAGTTTGTCGAGTAGAAATTTGTCGACATAGAACGTTCTTGTTAAATAGGTATGCCTAGAAGGAAATCAGTTATTCTATTTCAATCAGTGTAAAGGAAAATCAGAGTCTTACTTGTAATCGCTGTATGTTTGATTTATGAATATCTATATCTATGCTAGTTGGTTGTAAGCAGAATAGTTGTCCAGCATTAAGCAATACACGACGAATCATTGCCCATTCTGTATAAAAACAAAAATCATCAATAGTCTGACTTTTTTAAACAGAAATCAATACTGCATACTAACTCTTCAGAGATAATTTATCCGCTAAATTATGCGTCAAGAGAAATGGATCTTCAATTGCTATTGTTTGACGAAACCATCCTTTTTCTAAGCGTGGCAATGGTTCATATTGCCGAATAGTAACAACATTGTTTTTATAATCAAATTGTTCAGTATAATAACGTAAAAACTCAATCCATAATGTTCCTGATGATAATTTATTCAATCCGTAACCATTCCATACTTGATTCTGAGCAAATAAAACAAAGTTCATCGTCCAAAAACAAAACAAATTTTCAAGTAAAATAACCAATACGTACGAGTTTCTTTAAATCAGCGTAAAAGTAAACATTACAATCAGTACATTTTCGAGTAGTGCAAACATTGGGTGATTGACGATCGATTAACTAGTAAAAAAATGTAAGCAAGATTATCAACAACAGGAAAATATGCACTTGTTGCAGAATGGGTATAACAGGCGGTTGAATTTGTTGAAGAAAGTGTATCACCATGATCGTATATGCGTAGCTTGACAATGTTCCTTGACTTGCATCGCCGATATTACATGTCTGAAATACGGCATAATAATTAGAATTCATTTCACCGTATTCATTTGAGATTATGATCTATCTATATTTCACCGAGAGAATATAAAAAATTATTACATCTTACTTTTGCTAAAGTTTTCATTACGAAACCAAGTTCACCCACTCGTGGGTCAATGTCGGAGTACATTTTTATTAGACGAGTGTTTTCAATAGGCTAAACAGAAGAAAAACATTTTCATAAAATATATATTCAATGATATAATCAGAATCGATTTCAGATAACAATATCATTGACGAGCAATTAGCTGTAAGCGTTATGGTTTTTAATTAATAAGATGCATTTCGATATAATGACGCACCAGAATGTTATTAAGGCTAACGTCGAGTTCGATATTAGACTGAAGATACATTGATCGAATGATTGGTACTCTAGCATTCCGTACTAGTATAACATTTGTCAACATATTCTTCTGTAATTTCATTGATTGAGCTAAATTATCCAAAACTTGAATGGCAGTTTCTTTTTTCTAAAATCCGGAATCAAAATTGAAATCATGAATAGAAATGACATAAATCGAATACAAACGTTCAAATCTAACAGAACACAAATATCAAGATCACTCTGACGAAAACCGAATCCATTATAGAATGAACCATATGCACTCACATGACAATTAGGATATTTTTTTCGAAATTCTACTTCAAGATATTTTAAAATTGCTTCACGTTTTCTAATATCCTCATTGGTTGGCTTGCATTCTTCTACAAACGAATAAGGATGACGAGAAGAAAAAAAACAAGCCAAAATTGATATATGCCATGTGAAGAATTCTACCTGTAATTTTTTGACAAACATTTGAGAGTAAATCAAACCATTTCCTATCAATTTCATGCAAACCCATCATGTTCGGTAACGATGATTTGAGGCATTCAGACTTAATATGATTACTTTTATAGCACACTGTACAGACAAGTGGTGGACCCTTAATGATACCATCCGAATATCATATTACTATAATTTATATCAAGAACTTCGTACTTTGTCTGCCCCAAAATGTTCTGCTAGAAATTCGTGCGCCATTTGCCGGGAATTATTGAGTGAGATACTTTCCAATGATGCCAATATGTTTCCATCAATAATTTGATCAAGTTGAATCGATTGTGGAATTGGTCGTATTGTTGAAGGAGCAGAAGCAAGAATGTTTTCTGTCGGTGTCTTAGAATGAGATTCATCAATAACTTTGTCAAAATGTGACGACGCACATGACTCAGATGTCGGTAATAATTTGAAGTTATTAACAATTTCTCGCATTTTCCTATTGAACTCATGAACTATGAATAAATAATAATAAATTTATTAATATCATTTAACGAAGAAGAGAAAGAGAAAATGAAGTGTGATATCACATAGAAGCTCATTTTTTCTCTTTTGAGAAATTAACCATAAAAGAGTTTCTAACGGACAAAAAAATTCCTCTATTTTGTGTTATGAATCTAAGCATAGTTCTTTAGCGATCAATTTTAGAAAAAAAATCTTATATATTTCGTACGAATCATATCACTTTTTAGAAGTTCTATTTTCTTTTTAGTTTGATAGAATCTCATTAGATTGTGTTCTAAACCAATTTCGCCCATGATACTTCATTTACACAATAATAGCTAACATATCGCTTAGAGTGAGAATATAGCTGCATATTATATCAAAGCGTCTTTTAATAAAACTTCTTTTGACATGAATTACTTTATCAACTTTAATGATCAATTTCAATAAGAAAGAAGTATTGTTTACCTTGTCGATGGTACTCTAGTCTAAATGTACGCTTTTGATTCTCATTGAGATTCTCAACAAGTATTTCGAATGATATAGGATGCTCGATTATATCTTCCTCCAAATATTGACTATCGTCTGTATCTTCATCTTTTAACTTTAATTCGTTTGCGCTAGAAAAAAGAATTAAACAAACTGCACAAAAGCCATTTTTGTTAGCTTACCTATCGATTTTTGTTTCCTCATTGATGATAACAACATCAGGTGATACGCTAGGATTAATTTCAATTTCGTTATCATCGTTGTAGATACTGTCAGAATCTGTGTCAACATCATTCTGAAATTCTTCTTGAAACTCGTCTTCACTCACAACTGATTTATCTAATACTGGCAAGAAATTGTTATCAGGTAGCTTAACTTTTGGTTCAGGCCAAAGGTTTGATCTGTTGTCGAATGTCTGCTCATATAATTGTCGTAGGTCATGTTGTGTAAATTTTACATTTCTTGTTCTTTTTGATACTAAAGCAGTAAAAAATGATTTGCACGATTGAGATACTTCCGTGATTATTGAATTATTATTTGTTTGTTCTTTATTGCTGTTTTGACAGAAATAATTCAATGCCTTTCGAAATGTTTGTCGAAAGTATGCAAATGAAGAGTTTGCTTTCATTGTGTAAGCTAAATTCCTATTCATATATACCGGATCTATAAGGCAGAGAAAACAAAGTTTAATTAATAGCAATTTCAATTGATAATTACCTGCACAAAATAAAGTTCGACAGAATTTTTGTTTTTCATCTTTTAGAATTGGCATTCGTGTTTGTATCGAAACAATACATTGTTGAATGTCAAATTTTGATATATAGTAAGAAAGCAGTTGAAGAAAGAGCATTTCAACAGGCGTCTTATTGTCAGTTTTCCACGTACTAGCGTAATCGTTGCAAATACTAAGGAAGTCATTATGGTGAGCATCGCTCATTATCATCAGTGCATTATCAACTCCATAAATCTTTGTTTTTCAGCAAAAATAAAGAGAAGAAATTACGCAAACATGACAATCGAATGCTTACATATTCATGAAGACAAGGCACAATTGGTTCTTGAATTTGTTGAAGAAAATGAATGAGCATGATATGAAAAACCATTGGATGGAGTGTACCAAAATCAGGATTATCCAGAGTGCATATCTGAATTGGACAGTAAACATATATCATAGTTGAATATGATGCAGTCAAAAAACAAATAACAGCTGACCTTGGCAAAAAAACGAAAGAGTCGTAATAGTGAAAGTACACGTATATCAAATTTCATATAGAGACGAACTATTTCAGAACAATTGATGCCTCGATTGTAATTCGATGTTACTCGCATGCGAAAATTTGTTTCTCGTACGAGAAAATCTATACAACACGGCTCATGGTCTATATTCAAGCGAATGTCCTGATACAAATCTAATCGAAAATACGATCAATGAATTATAAAATAAATATATCATTACATACTGGAATTGCGAATGATTTCGATTACTTCTCTAAGAATATTGTAAGGTAAAATTTCATTGACTTGAATATCAGTATCGATGACAACCTCATCTTTTAAACAACAAGCAAACGATACCGAACCATAAAGAATAACTTGAGCATCTAATTGAAAAAAAATACCTGAATCATAGATTTACAAGATACATTGTTAGTTGGTTACCTGGCTTTTTAGCTAAGATAATAGTTCGAAATTGGTTAAATAGACGTAATGCTTCTTCAAGACTTGTCCGAGATGAGTACTGTTCGGCAATGATTTTGTCAAAAACAAGTTTTAAACTTGCTAAATGTTCCAAAGTTTTCTGTTTAGGAAACATTGCAGTTTGATTCTTTCGTGACTAGCAAGAATGACACATTTCTTCATAAAAATAATCATAAATTAAAATAAAACGAATTCTGTACCTTATTTTGTGAATAGTAACGTTCATTTCTTTCGCCACGATTGTCTACTGAAACAAAACAAAGATTATTCTACAAACTTCTGAAATTATTAAAGATCCACGTACTTGATTTTTCTGTTTCGTATTTGAATCGTTCATTTGGGTGATAATTGTGCTTTTGAGTGTATAAGAGCTGTGCCGGAGAAATATCAACGAACAATTTAGTTTCATCCTGTCTTTGCATTTCATGCGATGGTGGTCTTTGTCGTTGACATTGTGACAACCACTGTGATTTGTAGTCATCATCAACATCAACGGGCATTGATTTATTTTGCTTCTTTTTGTCGCTGTAATATTTCAGTTTTCGTGTTGGCTGATTCATTATTGCGGAATGTGTGAAGAGAAGAGTGTGACGCTCAAATTAAACAATATCTGTCCTTGTTGTCATCTCGTTAGACACTTGTCGCATCTACAATATAGACAAAACATCTTATCTATATCATGACGGTTAAAGCATTTTTAACTGACAACATGCAGAGCATTTTAACAGTTCTCTCGATGAAACTACTTACGAATCCTACTTTAAAAAAAAAATTTCTTTGAAATAAGTATATATAAAACTATGACAATATTTGGTAAAGAATAATGCAATGTTGCGAAACTCATAATTTAAAAGAATGCTTGATTAAAGATCCATATTATAAGGGTTGAAATTATCTATCAACATTCGTCGAAATTAAACATAAGACATAATGAGAATCTGACTTTTTGTTGACGTTTGCAACGCATACAAATGTACGCAATCAAGAAGATCTGTTACTACAAATAACCTGCTAACAATATCATGAAAAACAATTCTAGACTCAATATGTGATTAAAAGGGATCACAAATTCTAATTAGTTGTTCATTGTAGTTTCTCTCGTGAAAGGTATGATCTTAAAAGCAAAACTTCATTGGGTTTTTATTGTTGCTTTCTTTACGATGGAACTGTTTGTTCTGTCACTTTATTTGCTTAAGCTGTAGTCGAATCAAATTATTGTCCTCGACAAAAATTTATCAAACTAAAGATATGAGCTGCGGATAACGAATCTGAACCGAGTTTTTTTTTAAATGGTAAGCTATTTGGATTATATGTAATTAGATGTTCGCAAGTCGAAATTTACGAAGAATTTGTTTTTTATTTTCTTGTAGTGATTGAGTAGAACTCATTGAGTTGTGCCAGAAAGCGCATGTTTCGAACTTGAAAGAGAAATCGATTTCATGTGAGTCAGAAATTCAGCTCTATTCTTCGAATATACCCAAAAAGAATCAAACTTTTCTTTTTTTTCTTCTTCGAAACGTATGTTTTCTTATGAAATTCAACGAGCTCGATTCAACCAACACAAGAAAATAAAGACTAAACTCATGAAATGTTTTGACTTCGGAACATCTTGACATAGATCAAATGCCTTAAGATGTAAATAACTCAATACGCCTTCGTCATCCGCAGCTCCTATTTTTAATTTGGTAGTTTCTCGTCGAAGACGATAATTTGATCCGAATATAGTTAAGTAAATCAACGAGCAGTACAAACAATTCCAATCATTATTATAAATAATGATTTTAGGTAGAAAGACAAGTAATAACCGTAGTCTCCTATAGATTGTTATGCGACTGTGGATGATACTATACATCACTTGTTCATGGGCATACACTTTGGCACACTCCTCGCCCCGCACAGCTGATGACTCGGATTCGAACTCTTGTAAAAGACTATACTTATTCTGCTGATAGCATATGTTACATCTACACGAATTTGAAAGTCATGTCTTCCATTTATTTGGACAAAGCCTAGAACTGCACTTCTCGTTTCATATCTAACCAGCATGATATTTTATGGTCGATAATAATCAAGTAAAAAATGAATAAATGCATATATTGACAAAACAAAACAGCACAACCCTTTTAATGATATTGATTGTTCGTTTTAAAAAGAAATTCCAATCCGAATCATGGTAAATTCTTTCTGTAGCTATGGGAGTGAATGACAGAAAGACCAACATTCTACACCCATAACTCTCATCAAATTCATATGCATTGCTTCCATATTCTCACGTATTATTAATCGGGGAAAAAACTAATTTCGATGAACCAAAAGCACTTTCGTACGCGTTCGACTTTCTACAAACTTTCACGCGAAAATAATAATAATTCTTAAACACTACAGATGATTTGCGTTCCGATGTTTCGAATATGAGACTCTTCCCGACTTGAAAAATCACTCACCCGTGTGTGATTCGTCCGTTACGTTAGACAAAAAATGAATCGATAAATGAATGCGTCGGGTTACGTAGACATACAACCGCAAAAAAAGCCAATGCAAGAATAGAAAAGAAAAGCACGTGCTTAATGTAATTGACTTGTTGATTTTCTTTGTAGGAACTATTTTTTTACAGAAGAAAAACAACTGCCAATATAAAAACTATTTCAAAATCGTTTACATATGCCATTGCTATTTTAAATATATCCTTAACTATTTGAATTGATTTGTAATTCGAAAGTTTACAAACTCAATATATCATCAGATCATGTTGAATTTAGACAAAAAAATCCATTCGACGATTAGGTATTATTCGTAGGTTTGTTTATGACTATGTGCATATAGTTTTCAATTTTTTACTTCATTAAAAGATAACATTAATGCCTGTAGTAAACGTTTAAAAGTGGATGATACAGAAAAATACTGAATGCTTATGCAACATCTAATAATAAATATTTCCATCAACTGACGATAAGACCCTAGCCTTAACTGATATTCTAGATAAACGTAATAACTTTGATATTGCAGATTTGTTGACTTCTGGCCTCGGATTGCACGTTTTTGAAAAGTAGAAATTTGCATAGGATCAAACTTTTTAAAAACACAGGAAAATGTAGAAGGCTGAAAATTTGTTGTTTGATTTAAAACTACATGTAACATTTAACTTTTTTGGAATCAAATTAATATGAGTACTAAATTTTTGCCAAGATTTCATTGCACTCCTTTATAAAGATACACGAAAAGAATCAGACATAATTAAATACAAACGAAATATGTTTATTTACATATTAATACAAAATATATCCGGGCGTGTGTGTTAGTACTGGTTCGTATTGCCTTTGCACTTACATTCACTTACACTCTAACCGAGTTTTAAACTTTTCAAAAACGGCATTTTGAGTTTTTTAACCAAGTTTGTTTAGATATTTTTAAATCTAACAATATATCAGTTAAAGTTTTGTTTAAAATAGATTTTCTTTTGTTTGCGTGCATGTTCATCGAAGAACTTAGTGGTAAACTCGAATGAAATTTTTTTGCATCCATTTATTATTGAATGTTGCCATGATATGATTAAATGAATTCAAAGACGCAACTGTTTGTGGTTTTAGATATATTTTTACCGAATTCAATAATAATATATTGAAAATAAAACAAATTTCATCGTCGAATTCATTTAATCATATCATGACAAAATTCAATAATAATGCATGTGAAAGTATTTCTTCTGGAAATTTCGTCCAAGTTACCAGGCTAGGGTATGGTTGGGCGTCGTCCAACTACCGGCAATTTGATTTTAAATAAACATTATGCATCACCAAAATTAGCCTTTCTGAAAAATTGTTAGGGCACCACCCAATCATTCAACTTAGTCTAGTTACGCCACTACGGAGTGGGGGGGGGGGGGGGCAGTAATGCGAGAAATAACGTCGTATATTGTCGTTTAGGGCGATCGTAGTTGATCGTAATTCAGACCGCAAGGAATACGACGAAATACTGTCGTAATATATAGTGTATCCGGCCGCTTACAACGTTCATAACGCTCGGCCTGAGATACTAGCTCTAGAAGTGTGTCATTTGGAGAAATAGCTTCACAAAAAATTGCAGTTTATAAGCGGCCCTGGAGAAATAAAGTATTTTTATGTCACAGGATCATGCAACCAAAACCTCTCTCTACAAATTCGAGACTTTACCCAAAAATGGTCGTTTTTATGGCATAAACATGGCAAAACAAGTCTCATCAAATGATGTTTGAATGAACTTTCTAACTGTCAGCTTTCGAGATACGGAAAAATAAAGTGTGCCGTAAACGTCACAGCGTTACGCTTCGACAAGATAATATACAGGGTATGGGCATTATAATCTCTCCCATTCACCCACGCACACGCAACTGTTGATTTTAGATTCTTGCTTCTTTTTTTCTCTCGAAGAATTGTTTCGTTACTTTTGCATAATGACAACATTTTACCTTTCTTATATTTCTTCTTCCGAGCTCTTTTCTTTTTCTTTTCTTTCTGTCCACTACGTTCTGCATTGGGAAGTACGGCTATGCGATATGAAAAATGAATCACAAATGTGTATGTATGTATGTAAATAATAATATTAAACAAAATTATATTTATGAAAGAAAGTACTTTTCATAAATACCTAAACACATCAATATTCATTTCTGTCTGATCTATATTGGTTGATATAGTTACTCTCAAATAACCATATTTTTTTACACTCGCGAATAGATGAAATTTTATGCACTGAAACAAAGTTGAGACAACTTGAGGGTCGATATAGACAACGGTGCCTTTCTCATTGTAATTCATGCAATAGCCTTTCCTTTCCATCCTCATTGGGCATAGAGAAGAAATGACATAACCTTGATTAAAAATTTTGTTCGCTATATTTTCTTCGAGTATATAATTATATACGTATATAAGTTTCATACTAAAGCTTTTATTGATGATTAAATGTGGTATTGTTTGTTTCGCATAAAATAAAATAAATTATGAATGTTTGTCTCTAATACCGTTCTATTTATTCATTGCTAACAGGTTCAACATCAATGTTCATTGAACATTTGCGATGAGATGCAATCTTAATACCACTTTGTTTGTGGTTATCTAATGTATCTTTATCTTTAGCAATTACTACCGCCAAATCATTAGCAGGACTGACGCGAATCTTTTTTGATAGATAAAAATGTAGCTGAGTAAATATTGCAACAAGCATTGGAGCCAATAGCAATTTAATTATGAGAAACAGCAGACCAAACACTTCCAATACGACAATCGTGAAGAGAAGATCGTGAAAAATGACTTCTGTTTCTTGAACGATCGGTTGCTGTAAATTTTTTATATAGAATGTATTCTGTCCTATTATAATACTTATATTGGTCTGCGATCGATAAAAGAATGTGTATTCGCTTTCACTTTGGAAAAGTTCAGTTGTGTCGAGATTGAATGAATATGCCCATATTGCACTGAATGTAGGTAATCGATTCATATTCAAAGGGGCAGTTTCATTAACGATTTGAGTTAATTGAATAGGAAAAACAGTTGACTGTGCCAGAACTTGATCGAGCGATGACGAGGTGAACGTTGAGGCGAAATTGAGTTCCATTAATGTGTACCTTAAAATAAATACAATCATTCTATTTCATAACGAGGATTAGCTTTTCGTCTTTATCCAATCTGAATAACATTCATAAGTGATAAACTCTATATGTGCAATAGATTTCTTACCGGCCATCTTCTTCCACTGCTGAAGGCCCACTAAGACCGACTCGAATGGCTCCGATTGTCTTCACTCCTGGTAATATGAGTTGAACACTAATTGTATGTACGGGGAGTACGATAGCCAAGCTTAAAGTAGTATTATTGTAATTTGTTTGACACCAAGCAATAGGGAATTGGATGGTCGTATAAGTAGTGATACGTTGCACATAGAAAGAATCTTGACAAGTGAATGCTGTTTGTACAAGATCGATATTGAGTGTAAATGGTTGAGCGTTAAGTAGATCAAAGATAAGTTGACTTTCATCTTGAGGACGACGAGAGTTCCATGTATTTTGCATCGTCGTACTGAACTTTGCATTGCGTAAAGTAGTATCACAGGCAAATGAACTATTTTTAGTAACGTGCTCAATTGGATATTGAGAAAGATACGCATTCGAAAAGGTACACGCTGACACAACAAGCACAATGATTGCAGCAGAGGCAAGACCACCGATCCACATCTAAACAATAGAAATAGATAGCTAACAGAAATATGGCAACCTTTCAGATACGGTACGAGTAAGAAAAGTATCGTGACTTAATTTATATTCAAAATCATTTCTAAGATTTTGATTCTACAACAATCTCAGATAAGACAAACAATATATTTTCTTAAAAATCAATACCAACTATGTGTTCTCTATCGAGTTAACTATATGAGAATTCAGCACGAACTACAAGACACTAAACGAATTTTCTTATTGCAAGTAATTCAAAAGGATCAATGACTCACTGGACATAATCCCTTGTGTATGCTTGCTCAAGTGTGTACGAGGAAACATTTCCAAATGCTTTGTCTGATTCGGAATGGTATTTTCCTTCATTAGAGACCAGCGTCGTATTTACTAGGTAGCTACGCATGTCAAGGGTAACAAACAGAAAAAGCAATCGAAACTTCAACTGTAGTAGAATTTCGAGTGATAATGAACGAGACTTTTATAAAATATGAAATGACATACCTCTCCTTTACCGACAAGGTCTACTCTTCGAAACCATTGTTTGGTTTGATTACGTATAATGTGATGGCTAGGAAATAATTTCTCGGATAATGTCATTGCAATCACCACAATCAATGCAATGAATATGACGAAAAATACCCATGTCAGAGGTGACACGAGTGCACAATGAACCGATTTGAAATTGAGGTTGAACATGTTCTGCATGAGTATATCATCAAAGACGGTATTATCGGGTGACTCTGGATACGCTTGATTTTGGCTGATCGATGCGAATTCTGAATACATTATATTTCCCACAGCTCCATACGGGCAATAGGAATTTTCTGATGTGCATAGTGAACAGTTACTTGATCCTGAGCAAGGATAGCATAATTCAACTCCAGGATAATCTCGATAAGTGCCAACAATACAAGGAGCAGCGATCGATGAGTATGTTGTAGCATTTGTATTTGGATAACTTCCTGCGGGTGCAGCAATTATGGCCACTGCGTTGCCTAAAATATCGATAATACCAAAACTCCCATTAGATGAAAAAGCAAGACGAAGAAAGAACGCGGTAATCAATGGATTAAGAACCTGTTGGCTATTCGGATAAATAAGAATCGGTAGTACTTCGTTTGAAAATCCATTCGACTGAATATCGTAGACATGGATTGATGATGATATCCATTGATAAGTCGAATATTCATAACTATTGGCAAGAATCACTGCCTTATGACCATTGCCATCCAACCATCCAACGCTCTTCCCGTAGCCCATTAATCCAATACCGTTGTCACGAGTACCTATCGGATTGTGAGTATCATTCAAAGAATACAGTAAAACAGCATTGAGTGATTGTATGCCTATAAGTACGTATCCAGCGGGCCAAGCAACACTTACTGACAGAACTAGCGGTGATGTATAAACCTGACTCTGCGAAATATAGCGAATGGAACGTGGATCAGTCCAAGAAAATTGTAAGATATTAGCAATAGTAAAAACTTTTATAATAGTAGGACATGATTGAGATGCATTTAATTGAATGAAAAATCCACACTCGATTGCGACTGATGGTGTCGATTGACAATATCCAACCAACACAGCATATTGATAATTCGAGCCTACATCCACTGCTCGAGGAGAAATTCCTAGGGTGTTTGGCCAAACAAATAATTGAATTGCTGGTTGTAGTTCGTAATATAATATAAAGTCATCAGCAAAGCCATAGACACCAGTACTTTGTTCATTTATATCAATCACATAATTGTATTGTGTTGAATAGTTGGATACAATGCTTTCATCTTGCAACTCAAATGTACAATTATCATTTCCAATAAAATAACCCATCAAATTATTGCCTGGTAGATCAATGCAATTGTAGACGAATGAAATATCATTTGTAGATGGAACAATAACATTATAAACAACGTCACATGTTGAGGAATTGAACCAAAGGATACAGTTGTTAGTCCCGTTATTCGGAAGTAGAGAGATAAACCAACCCTCAAATAAATTGAAGGCACTAACTAATATACGATCATTCATTGCAATTTTAATTCCATAGAGATCATTGTCAGTTACTACTGCTGTGTACGTGAATGCAGGATAGGATGCAATCAAAAAGAGCACAATACTGATAAACAACATGGCAATTGAAAGAAAGACTCAATTGTTTCTATGTTAATAACAGTCGCTTTTTTCTCATCTATATAGTTCCGGCTTCATTATTTTGATAGAAATTCAGCAAAAGTCATGAAAAAAATAATGAAACTAGTCTACAGCTAGTATCAATGAAAACTCTTTTCCATTTAAGTGCTCTTACACTAATTACTGATGACCAAATAAACTAATTCACCAATCATATATTTATTTCACACAAAAAATATACAGTACAAGCTTCCCGTCTGTTACATAAGGCTATGTTTAGTACTGAAGTAATATAAAAGAAATTTCTAGGTAATGTATACATTCTGTTTTTACTCTTTCACTTTTACTTTGTGTTCTGGATATTGCACTGCGAATAACGCCTAAAGAGAATGATGGAAAATTATTGTTTCTATATATGACTTTACTATTAAAATATCTTATAAAACAGCTTGAAAGCCTCACTGTAGTCTTTTAGGTGAGATAACTAAATAATTGATGAATTAGTTTACTTTGCCATATTAGTTCTTCGTATTAATCAAGTTTTACTAAGACATAAGAATTTATTTTCAGCTCACAAATCGAAAAAATACTAATTCCATAGCTGACTCTTGAGAATGCCAGTGTGTGTATCTTTCTAAAGAGAAACCATCGTGGATTTTGACTGCTGCTCAAAATAGCAGAGAAAAGAAGGTGATACTTTTAAATCGCTCATTTTTTCCCTTTTATTTGATAAGAATTATGCGAAAATTATGAAGTTTTATAGAATCGATGCCATCAATTGCAAAATTATCTGGATAACAATGTTGCAATGAAGGCTTTGAATTGATAGGAGGATATGTGATGTTTTTCTCCCATATCTTTGTTTAAAAGATTTGCAGTGATCGAATGGGATAGCTTAAGGTGAAATTAAGTTGTGTTTTGCGCCTTGTTGCTTGATATAATGATTTGCAATGTAGGTGATTATCAACTATTTCATTCAATTTCAAGAACCAGTTGAATTCTTCACTTATTAAGGAAATACATTCTTTGGAGAGAATGAGTTTATTGAGAAAATTTTAAAAAATGAATATCTCCACGAGTTGAAATATTTTTATGCCTAACCTCGCAGACTAAAAGAGTTATGATGCCTACTGATTTCAGTGAAAATTTCTTCTTGGACAAACGTTCACAAGTTGAGAGATCAAAATTTAATCACCAAAGATTATATTTTCTTATTTAATTTAAAAAATTCATACTCAGTACTATTGTCTGCGAAAAACAGCTATCCTAGTCTTATTGTTATCCCGTAAATGTGAACAAATTATGAAGTGAAAAATGATCAAGTAGTTCCAGATGTTCCTCGGTAAGAAAAACAGTTTTGATTCCATATATAACGCAAATCCGCTGATTTACAAAATTTAGGTGGCGTGAGTCGCCAATAAAACGAAGGGAATTTCCCATCCAACATATGGATCTGACAAAAAAGAATAATTTAAACAAATGCAAAAAGTCTATCTCGAGAGTTTTTTTAGAAACACCAGACATGATTTAAATCGGCTTTTGTATCATAATTGCAAAAGCTTGAGTTTGAAGAGTAGTTACATTTTTGTGATGCACTCTTTCTTAGATAAGTAAATGAATGAAATGAATATTTATTAAAATGACAAAATCTCTCTCTCTATATATATATATATATATAAGATAAATTGGCCGCCATCTTTGTTTGGATGGAGTCGTATAGCTGGAAACAAATGACTCGTAATTGTAACGTACAAATATATATAGTGAAAGTCTTTCTTTTTACAAAGTTTGGCATTGATCAACTGCATTTAGTAATTGAAATAAACCAATGGATCTTCTACAAAAGAGAAAAATATTTCGGTTGTTTGCAATTTTATTCAACATTGATATACAGTGTGGGTCATAGATAACTTAACTTAAATAAAAATTAGCAAATTTTCGTCATTTTTTTATGGCAAATTAATGAAATTTTTCAAAAGTGATAAAGAGTGTAAGTCATTTTTCAGCTATATAAAAACAAAACAGAAACTGTGAAATTCGACCAGCTTGTTCGGCGTTCTATTCTCCATTGAAATGTGCCATTTATTTTCAATTCAAAACTAAAATACGACGTAAGTCTTCTTTTAAAGGAATAAAGTTACTAGTGCCATTGGATTAGATACAAATTGAACTGTATCTCCTGTTATTTATTTTGATATGTAATAAACTATTGGGAAGCTTTTACCATGCAGTCTAGCTATAGAATGTAATAAAATGAACTTATCAGAAATTGCTATGACCGACTTGCATTGTTTCGAGTTGATTGTAGCAAAAGGTTGCAAACTGAAAATTGGACAGTTTGCGGTATTTATATGAAATCAGTAGCTTATGAGTATTAAAGTCAAGAGGTATGGTTGACATGATAGTATTACTTATTTTTCATGAGATTTTATCACTTTGTTATATATGGGTTGACGAAATATGCTGAATTTGAGTAGCTACTTAATTCGAGTTGAAATTTTAAAATTTTAAAAACACTTCATCCACGTTTGCTAAGCCAAAGCTGACAAAGTCACAGTTAAAGTGTAGGATGAATTGAAATTTCTAAGCAGATGAATATTCATAAGTGACAAAGAAAGATCCATTTCGAACATTACCATCAGTAGAGATGCGTTAAGGTCCCTATCGAGGTCGAAAATTCCGGCCAGCAGATCCCTGCCAAGTTCCGGTGCTTTCCGCCAGGAATTGAACAGAAATCAGCGGAAAAGATCTGAAAATTTTCCAACCGGAATACTGCTTCCACAAAATCAACGGAATTACCCGGAACCGGATGTTTCCAGGCTGGACTGTTCGACCTGGGTAGTTACCATCCTCATCTAGAGTGGTCCCTTAAGGTGAATTGCTTATCAGGTGAACGAATAGAATCTGATGATTTTCTGATCTTTTTTCACGTAAGGACGAATAGGGACTAAACTATAGATATATACCTTCTGTGAAAACACATGTCGCCACATTGTGTTTGATTGTTTCATGTAATGAATAAAAATCATACTTTTTGTGATGCTGTTGCTGGTGAACTCGAATATGAATGAACAGACCATCACCGATGGATACTTTCATGAAATAGTTGATACCATAAGCTACGTCTTCTTCAGCATACTTTGTTACTCTACATACGTAGTTGAGAAACAGAATATCATTTTTACCGTATTATAAAAATCATAAGAGACTCACTTCCAATTCGCTATATGTTTTTCCCGGTGTTCTTCAGAGAAGTGGTGCACATGATTTTCATGATGCTTTTTATGTAGAGCATGAATGGCTGCATGCTTGATCTCAGCGATGTCACTATTTAGAGTGTAATAAAACTTATGACAGAAGAATATCGGTCGTATGAAAAAATGGCTGACCTTAATTGTTGGATTTCAGGCGTTGCATCCTGTAGAGAGAAAAAAAATCAAGCAGAGTATAAATATTTTTCAAATGCGACTTTTCTGTGAACGAACCATAACAGGTCCCATATTATTGCAGTGTTCATCAGACATTCCTGCGTGTATGTAGAATAGTGTAGTTTAAAAAAACTTGTCAGAGTAGCTGAATATAACTTTTTTTCAATTGTGTATGAAAGTGTTTGCCGCACTAGTTACCTGTCTCCAAGCAAGATGGAAGAAAAAAAGAAACAAATTATTTGAACGAAGAGAAAAGAAAATAGGCAGTCAACGTTTACATTAAAAAAATGTCTCTTTTCTTTCGTTTTCTTTCTTTTTGTCGTGGCCGCTTAAAAGGAGAAAAAAAGAGTTAGCCTTCTTTTCAGGCGTAACTTTGAATTGTTTCACATGCAACTCAAATATTAATCAGAAGTTAAGGTATGCTTACCTTTTCATCGATTCAATACTAACGTGTAACCCAAAAACAATGGGGATTTGTTTCCCTGAAAAATTGTATATAGATCTATCTTGTGAAAATATAATCAAAATAACGTTCTTCTAATAATATTACACATTTACAATATCAACAACTCCCAAAACTACTTCCAAAAGAAACTAACTAGAATAAATGACTTTGGATATTTTTGACCTAAACCTTTTTTTATCATTTATTGTTTTATTTTCGTAATTAAAAAAATAAATGCAAGAAACATAGTTACTAAATTATTGCTACAGACATACAGTAAAGTGTAAACATCGTCGAGTTTAACACCAGTGAACTTGTTTGCAATCATATCTCTGGAAGTTTCTACAAAACTATTTTGAGAACTTTCTAGTAGACTAGGGAAGTTGAGGGTTGCGCAAATACAGATAGAATTTGTACTTCGCCTACAAAGGAGGGCTATTAACACAAAAAATGTATCGGTCTGTATCGACATCTATCATGTATCGGGTGAATGTACCACTGGCGGCTCTTAATTGTTTTGTGGAATACAAGTTTTATTTGTATTTGAGCATCTCTAATCTTTAAAGATTGCTGAATGAGTTTTGAAGTGTGTTGGGATTTTCTAGAAAACGGATTTTTGTTTTTAGACAGTAGTTGATTTATCATTCTAATTTAAATATAACACCTTTTTATTGCTCGTCTAATGTACGGCTTTAGTTCTCATCTAACCATCAAGTGATCATCATATCTTTATTTAATCTCTTCACTTAAGTGAATGTATTTGAGCTCCACAATAAAAAAAACGTATACGCTTAGTTTTTACTGCGATCAGAATTTGAAATGCAGTACTGTGTTTCATAATCCGACGTACGTTGATTATTTCGAGTGTTGTACGAAATCGTTTTTGCATTTGAATGCTTGAAAAGGTTTATTACGAAGCCATTAACAATAAGGATGTCTTTGGAGATATAGTATATGAGAGCAAAATCTTTTGAAGAATATTAAAGTACCATGGAATCATTTTACTTCCGTATAGTACCTTTTTTGAGTGTAAAGTGAAGTGTCTTGTTTGTGGACATTGAAAAAAGCGACAATGTTGCGCGGATTCAGAAATATTTGTTGTTTATGAGTAGCCTTCAGAAAAGTTTTTTGTTACTGTAATGAACGAAATACGTATTGTCGGTATTTACTCAAAGATACACGAAAGGATAGATGTAACTGGCAGTCTTTTTGTTTTAATATTCTATGCAGTAATATAAAAGCTCAAGTAGGTAATGAACTCAATTTGCTGATGATCCATCGTCAAAGTACAAAACGAGAAACGCCAGTACTCGGTAGTACAGCATTCTTGTTTTCCTATCCTTGCCGATCGCACAGTTAACTGACAGACTACTTGACAAAAATTTCAAATTCAAGTTTGACGTAATGCATGTGCACCACCGATTCGTCACTGATAAATCAATTGCTTTTAATTTTTCAGCTTCTGATAGAAACATTTATTTATTTCAGATGGGCAATCTTGTTTTTATTTAAAAGGAAAATTAAGAAAGGGTATACTAAGTGTAGATCTACAATTGACAGTCTCTTCTTTGTGATGATAATAATGCTTTTCGCTTTTAAATATAGATCGTCATATCCATTACGAATTCAATGTTTGTACTCATACTTTTATGGATTAAGCGTGCCTTCTGGGCCGTATTGCTGCTCAGCAAGATGATGAGCTTGTTGAACAGCACGCCCTTTTGTCTCTTCGCGGTCAAGGAAATCGAGGCCTTTGGTTTCAAATAATTTGTCAGCTGCAGCTGCAGCAAAGCCTGCCAACAATTCCTTCATAATCGAATGTGATACCGGTTGGCCAGTGCCACTTACATGGTCTTCGTAGGACTTCATAGCTAAAGTAATAAATAGAAATAAGAGATACTGTATCTCAGAGATGAACTAGGCATTTGAAGAATCTATGATTGTTCTTCTAAAATGGGGGAATATATGCGCATGATTTTAAAGCAATGATTAATTAAGATATTATCGCATTAGAAAATAATCAAGTTTTTTTCTATAGAAACATGTCACATATGATTATTTCGGTTTCTTACTCAGTCGCTCTGTACCTGAAAATACTTCATATTTTATTTTTGCTGCTATCGTATGGAATATGCATCAACTAAATGTTAATGTAAAATTCCTGATAATTAGCTTTCTTATACATTAAGTGACGTGTTCTTATGCTTCGATTATTTTCTTGCACGTTGACTACCGACGACAATGGTTGAACATGTAAGTTTAAAACATCTGCACTACCCCATCACACAAGTGTACACGCTTTATATTTTTAAGTGTGAATAATTAGCACCCTTTTACTTTTCATCCGAGACACTGTTTCGTACTAGCTAACAATCACACTTCTGGTAAATTGTATATTCTACTCAGTTGCAAACAATATTTCTCGTTGGCAAATTACCATCATAGCCAATTGAACCAGTGTAAAAATTACTACTGATCTTATGTATAGCAGATAAGAAGAAAGTGAGTTGGAGCTCAATTTTAACGAAAGTCTGTATCTACATTAAAAAATACTGTTATTACTGAACACTAAGCTTTGTATTTTTTATACGAAACCTTTTTAACTTCAACAGAATTGAAATAGCTTCGGAAAATTTTGTTGACGATGCAAATCAGCCAATCGTTTCGTAGAGATTCTTAGGGTCCTGTGTTATTCGTACGTAGTACAAACCAATATGAGAGCTTACAGTCAAAATTTACGGGTATGAAAAAAAATATCGCAAAGATTTTGCTATGCATACTGCTACGAAGCAAACTAATGCGAGGGAAACACGATAGTGAAAGAAAAGGTGAAATTTACTTAATGAATCAAGAAAATAAGAAATTTTAATCTAGCCTAAAAGAAACACACATAACAACCGCAAGCGTAAAAACCTACATGTTACTAATGATTCAAAAGAAGCTTTGCATTGTCCAAAAATTGCAGCACCAATCATAATGTTCTTGGGACCAAGTACGAACGATAAAAGAGGCGAGATGCCATGAAAGGTATACGTGTAAGGATATAGGTCAAAAGTTATCTTTATCAGAATATACAACTATAAGCACCTAAATATAAGTACTAAGCGAACACTCAAATCCGGGAAATTCTCATACAATATATAGTTTCATGAGTTGCGTACAAAATTTGTCGAATCAGTTCTCCTATTGTTCATGATTGATTTTTCGTTGTTAGATATTTTCCTTTTCCCACTTTGTTTGACTAATACTGGTACGAAAGCAAAACGTTGCTCCTATTGACATAAAGAAAAACCTCTGAATAAAAGATGTTGCCTTGTAGCGTGGAATATTTTGGAAATCTATCCACATTCACTTGAAAGGCATCGTTTTCGATTGAGATAGGTGACTGGAAAATTTTGAAATAATTTGTACATTCTACTCAATTTCTTTGAACTTGAAGCATACTAGCAGTTTATAATGAATCATCATACATATGTAGAAGCATCACATTATCTTACCATCAAAGCCAGCTGCACCAGCTATAATTTCATGTGTCAAAGATGAATGATGACTAGGTGGAACACCATTTCCACCGAAGACCTGTTCATGAGCTTTTTGACTATCTTGTTGGCCAAACAAATTGGAGAGAAAATCCATTTCAATAATTGGTAAGCCTGGCGTGTATCGTGTTTGGTACAAAGAAAAAAATCTGAATAATGACTATAATGTTTTCCTTAGCAACTGACGAACTGAGAGCCACCAACTAGTGTAGAAAGAAATATGTCTCTTTAGCTGATGACTTGCCGAAAGCAGCGCGAATATACGATGTAGTTTGACGGAAGAATAGAAAAAGGGGAAAAAAGAAAGGGAACCGTAATTGAAAAATTTATTTTTATTATTTTATATACGACCGTTTCAGCGGAAAAGCAACGCAAGAACATGAATTGAAAGAAAGGGAGACAGAGTTAGCTTTCATAATGATTGTTAGACTCCATAATAACAAGCGCTGCTATTAAAAGCATTCGCTTATTTATTTTTCATGTCAAGCAAATCGATTTTGAATATAATACTGACATTGAAGTTAAACAACTATGAAAATTCATAGTGATATTTCTATTTAGTGTTTCATTAAAACTCTTATTCACTATGAATATAAACGAAATCTAATATAATTTTATCAAAACTTTTTCATTTCGGATTGAGATAGGATTTATCGTGAATTTTTGATTGAGTTTGAAAACACAAGTAATAATAACATTGAAGACATCATTTTCAAAGAATCAACGCTGCAAAAATCTGTAAATTGAAATTGTAGAAACACATCTTCTTTTACATCAAGAAAAACTTCGACAACCGTTGATTGTCTCGTTGACCTGTATTAACCTTTGGAAAGCGATTTTTGAAGGATTCCTTCGAACTGATCTTTGTTAGTTAATGACAAACTAGTCTCGATATGCGACTATAAAAGTCAAGTGGAACGAGGAGAAACAAAAATGACACCTATTATCATAAATATACTGTATAGATAAAATATTTTTGATCTAGTCAATCATCATTTGAACATGCTAATTGATAATTTACTGCGCTGTTTGAAGAATTTAGTGATCCATACACATTTTTAATCCATCTTTTGCTTCTTTTCGCCAGTATTCAGATATCGTCCCATGATCATTTTTACTGGCATATTTAAGCAACTTTATTTCTAGAGAACTATATCGATGCGGGAGTAACTAGTCACAAAATAAAGGTGAAGTTACCTCAAAATCAGTACGAAGAGGTTCAAACTGAAGGAGCCATAATGACAAAAATTTTCTGATAAAATGATGTTTGTATGTATATGACATCTATAACAGATTCAAGAGTCGTAAAATCAACGCTGTGAGCAACCACTTTCTTAATCATTACTCCCTCATTATCATTGCTCTCTATCTGTCTCTTTTGCACCTTTACATACATGTAATTACCTCTCTTCATGTTTTTCACTGGTCACTATTCCTTCTCTCTACTCTTTGCACGTCATTGTGTTGTTTTTCTTCCATGAATATATAAGAGGGCAAGCCATAAACAACAAAAACTTTGATGGTGGTTGTGTAGAGCAACCATTATGTTAACATTTTATCTCTGCAACGAGAATATATACTGTTACCGAAGCAATGATAGATAGTATCTACATTGGTAGTCACAGATAGAGGTGTTAGCCGAAGGGTTGAACAGCGGCGGCGGGCAACAATTTTCAATTTTTGAAGATTCTCAGCGGCTTGTTATTTAAACGAGTAATGCCTTCAGCGGCGGCTGATATTTGCAAGTCCTTATGTGACGGCGACGGCTCAGTTAAAAATTCACTGATAAAAATTAAAAGAAAAATGTTTGATTCGATCGCATATATATTGATGTCAGCGGCGGCGAATAACGCTATCAAAAATTTTTATCTCTTGCAGCGGCGCAACGGCTAAACTTGTTTTTTCGCAGCGGCGGCTCCCCCAAAATTCTTAAAATTACCAGTAATTTGGTGGCGGCGGCGGCTGATATTATTGAAAAATCGGCTGCTGCGGCGGCTCAGCCGTACAGCTGACACCTCTAGGTATGAATATGGGAGCGGATGTGCCTGTCTTCAGAAAAATTCGATCCAAACCCATCTGAAGATATTCATAGATTGTCGATCTTTTAATTTGCAAATAAAAGAAGGATGGAATATGGGGAAGAAATTGCGTTACGTACACCTTTCATAGAAAAATAAATCTTCGTAAGTCAAACTATATAACACTGTTTTGGCGTTGTTTTCACTCAAGATAAGGAACTAAATTTCATGTATTTCATATGGTAAAATGGAGTTTTTTCCAACACAGATAAACGCATACGGTTGTTTGTGATCAGATGAATTCATCTGTTTATTGCAGCTAGGGGTGAGGACTTTATCTCTATTTTACTAGTAAAAGTAACTACCGTAGTTGCATAGTTACTTGAGGGTGCGGGTGTGGAGAAGGTTCTGAGGGGCTGAAAAACACCCACACCCACACCCACACCCTTTGAGCAATTCTATAATATTAAATGAGCAATAAATAGTTTATTACATAACAATATTGATTTCACATTTGAGAAACAAAAAGGAGGGTGTGGGTGTTTTTCAGCCCCCCAGAGCCTTCTCCACACCCATACCCACATCGTTGATGCGCATTTCAGCCTTCTTCAATGAGGTATTTTTTCTCGAAAAATATATTTCATTGGAGAAGACTAAAATGTACACCAACCAACTCAACGTTTTACGCTGATTCTAAATATGTTATTTGTTTTCTATAAAATTCTACTTTTTTCGATTAAAATAGACGAGAACTCTGGGGAAAATGCAAAAAACGGTATCCGATTGAAAATGATTTCATTTTATTTTATGAAGGGCACTTCTGAAAAAATTCAAAAGCATCTGATTGTGTAGCGCTTTGTTCAATCGTGCAGACTCAATCGAAACCACATTTTATTTTTTTCCTTTATTGAGATACTGCGAAAACAGTGCGTGGGTAGATAGGAGTATTTGATAATTTTTACACTAACCTTGATAGATTTTTCATTACTACATAGTAACGTTTCAACTGTCCAGGCTGAAATTATCGCCACAGATTGAGTAGGGAGTGGACAGTTATTTGACACACTGTTCAATTTCAAATATCTCCTTAGGGAACATACTATATATGTGTTCGTTCTATGTCCGAATTAGTCATTTATATACAAAACCTGATCTCAGTATTTTGAACAGCACTACCCGTAGACTGTCAAAATAACTTAATTTTGCTATCAAACGATCCCTCATAAAATTCTGCGTCTAGTGAGCTATAAACAAACCGAAACAAACGATGACCCAAAACTGGCACCTTATGCACCCCCGTCCTTTATTCCGTTGGTAATATGATCTTTTCTTTTCCAAATCCACTATATAAGAGCCCAAATAATGTTGCTTACACCTACGTGTTCTCTAAGAGCAATTTACCACTGACTCACCATAGAAACTATATCAGACGTAACAATGGTGGAAGGTCTCATCCACTTCATTCCATCTTCGATCTGATTATCTATAACTAGCATCATTAAGTGATAGAGATACAATAAGGTCGCTCAAAACCTAACTTTTTCTTTCTGAAAAGTTCATCATCATTCAATTAATTACAGAAATATCCATAAAATGACTTGAATAAAACTGAATATTCCCGAATTTTAGAATTTTTCCTCTGTTGTACCTGATTTCATCTTTTCGCGACTATCAATCAATAGCACTTGAAGAGTGAAATATATGGCCCTAGTTACACGTCCCCTAAAGACTGATCTCACGCTGAAAATAAAACTTATATAGGCAGATGTAGTAAAAAAGGGAGCTTCTTTCGTGAGAATTTCAAGTTTTTGACCTGTTCCACATTATTTTAATTATTTTTAATGTTACCAATCGATAGATCTTGAAAAATTACATTAATGGTCCTAATTTTACGTTGCAGTAACAGTGACTTCAAAAACCACCATTGGGATTAAATTCTATTTCTTATGGAAAAGATGAATTTTTGCTTGGAAATCACTATTGTGTTTCCAAATTCTACAGTGAATGTTTGTAAAAAGTTCAGTTTCATATAGAATGCAACATTCTGAGTTAGAAAAAGTGTTTTTACTAAGATTAAGTGAGAAATGATGCTAGGATAGTCAAAATAATGAGGAATGGGTCGGAATGGGTTCAAAGAGTGCTTAAGCTGGTTTCAAGAATAAATGTATTTTTAGAGGTCTGATGATAATACTCGTCATCGGCACCACTAAATCTTCAAGCTTATATGATTTTGGCTGATTAATAAAAACAAATGTGTTCACGATACCTGAGGGGTACCACAGTGTTAGGGTTTCGTGTCTCTTTCTTTTATTTATTCAATTGTGATATATGTGCTGATGTACTCGCACCAAATTTATTAGGAGGAATGAATAGAAAAACAGACGAATCTATTATATATAATACGTATAGAAACGAGAAAGGAAAACATCAATAACGATCAAAGAGAGAGAGATATAGACCATGTCGGTGTGCGACACCACCCTAACACACAGGCACGAAAAGTGTGAATGCAGTTTTTCGAAGAATAGACTAGAGAAAAAGTGTCAGAATCGATTATGCATTCGATGGCATATAGGCGCTCTCGCTCATGAGCTGTAGACCCGTAATATTGGGTAGTGAACTTAATGAGTAATGCTTTAATGCTATTGAGGCCAAATTTGAGATACGTGGAAGGTCGTTTCAGTGCACTATGAAAAAGCTTCGTACTCAACTGTATCTTCGGAACTATTTTCTGTATTGATCAAAATAATGCCCAAGTAGACAAGAATTTGGAATAACGCATTTAAATACTCAGTCGGGAACCGAGACTGTGAGTCATTAACGCTCATTATAATGACGCATGAGATGTGCCCTTTGTATAAAATTTTAACTTCAAAGTTTGAAAGCTGTTGAAAATTTCAGTTTTCAGCGTTAAAACACGCTGTTATTCTTGAATCAGTCATTTTTACACTCTAAAATGAAAATTTTGTACAAAGAACACATCTCATACGTCATTATAATGAGGGTTATTGACTCGCAGTCGCGGTTCCCGACTGAATGTTTAAATGCGTTATTCCAAATTTTCTTCTGCTTAGGTGTC